TTTCCGTTGGGTATCTGCCACATGTACCTACAAAGTCGTAGGTCTGCATGAGAGGAAAGGGGCAACCTTGAACATGTCATAATGCACCTCACCGAAATATTAATCGTTAATTCGACTCCCACCCCGGAGTATGTTTGTGGAGTTGTTTCCTGGCTCCGTCTGCAGGTGGCGCAGTGGACATTTGTTTGGTCGTGATACTCAGACGGTTCACACCGTTCTGAAGGGACCATGGTCGAATATGAATGGAGGAATCCAGATGATATCAAGCTCAGAACAAGCTGTACGTTGAATGTGTTTTATCTACGATTTTGCTTTCGATTGAAATACTTTCCGTTCAGATTCGCTTTTGTGAACTATTTCACCAAACATGCGGTTGGCAGCTCGAAACACTATTGAAGTTCCAAGAATATGTATTTTATCTTCTAACGGAATACGATAGTATTTTTTCTCAGAAATAAAAAGGTACTTTTTCCAAAGCATGAGCTGTAGATAAACAAACGAATCTATTATGACTGCGTCACGAAAATATAATTCGAATTCTCTAAAATGCCTGGTATAAAACATTATCCACACGAAAATGTTTCGGTTTCTACTAATAACTGATCTCGTTAACAAAGACGTTGAAGGAGGCTTGAATATTTTCAAATTTCTTCTATAATGAAATGTCGCTGGAATGAAATATACTCTCATATAAAACGCTCCAATGAATGATGAGAGAGGGAGGGAGAGTAGCCACTTCTTGACTTGAGCCACTTCTGACTCGTCACTTATACTTGAGTAGCTCTAAAACTAAACCCAGGTATTTTGTGTCTGAGCTCTCACCACTCATCTCGAAAAAATAATGGAATATTTTGTTAATATAACACATAACTGCATTTATAACAGTTTTCTTATATGTACTCTCATATTCAAAATTTCAACTGGAAAATAATGAGTTTTACCTTTAACCACAGATTAACACGGTCCTACCTATTAACGTATGATTCTTAGCGTTCCCGAAAATAATGTCATGATTAGGAGCCACAGAAAGATGGAATATCTTCTATATACTGAAATCGGATTTTTCCTAACGAAACACAGAAAACTTATTCGAAATTAATCAGGGGATAAAATTCTGAAAGCAAATTTGCCTGGAAATATCTGAAAACAATCCCAATATCGTAAAAATCGACTCATTTTCGATTTTTTAGTTGAAACAAACAACACCCTCTATAGTCATACTTGGGGGTGAGTGATTCAAGACAAAATGTTCTTTTCAGAAATTGTAATATACTATTACGCTCCGACATATATCCAAAGAATACGAAATATGATCATCTGATTTCACCTGTTGCGATCTATCAGATAGATGACAGTTAATAAATAAATAATTGAACAAGAATATTCTGGGAATCCGAAAAAAGTAAGAGACTATCAGATAGGAGACTATCAGATAAGCTATCGAATGCTTTGGAGTAATCAAATAGTATAAAATCACATATTTCATTATTATCAAGTGACTTCAATATGCCATCTGAAAAAGTATACAGTGCTGATGAACAACTATAGCCTGACCTGAGTCCACTCTGATACATGATATTATTATTCGGAAAAGATAGTTTTTGGAGTAATACAACTCCATCTTGATACAAAAAAATGTGAATCTTTCAAAAAAATCAAGGAAGCATCTATACATAGATGTGTGGTGGTTTTTTCTTATAATATTATCTAGATCGGTACTGAAGAGTGAGGCAAGTCTCTTACGGCGAAACATCGATGTCTACCAGTGAGCATGACAGTGTTCCATGTGAGTTAAATTTTTACTTTTCATTTAGTATATTGTGTACAATGAAATCTGATTCAATTCCATAATGAATGTTTGGAATACAAACTGAGTAGCAGAAAGTGTTTTTGGTATACTTAATTCAGTGTTAATATGAAAGTATTTGTTTCGAAAGAATTTTTTTTTCGTGTAATTCAATGTTTATATGAAAGTAGCTGAAAGTTACTTCTGTGCATGATTACACATCTATGTATAGAGTTACTTCTTTTAAAATTGATTGCTGTATACCTTTATTTGAAAGATTCTTACATTTTCCTGTATCAAGATGCATTTGTAGGAAGCCAAAAACTTTTTTTCCCAAAAATCAGTCACTCCTGAAAGTAGAACCCTTCCAAAATAAACAAGATTCCTTCTGGCTAAGATTTCATTAAATAGGTAAATGGAACCATCACGATGTCATCGATGACATAAGTAGATCAAACTTATTCCGTGACATGAGAATCGTAATTTATGAACGAATTATGTGGTTTGTTCTTATAGTAATCCAGATTGGTACGTATCTTACGTATCTTACGGCGAAACATCGATATCTACCAGTGAATGATATCTGATTTAATTCCATAACGAATGTTTGGAATACAAACTGAGTAGGGAAAAGTGTTTTCTCTATAATTCAGTGTTCATATGAAAGAATTTCTTTCCAAATACTTTTTTTTTAAATTCAATGTTTATATGAAAGTGGCTGTTTCAGGAGGGTTTTTTCTTCCAGTTTGTATCTGAAAGTTACTTCTGTGCGTGATTTACACATCTATGTATATAATAATAATGGATACTCCAAAGCGATGGTAGAAAAGACTTTGGCTAAAAGACAGCAGGAGCCTCGCAAGGAAGAGAAGCCGTCACAACCAGTGCTTGCACTTCCCTACATCAGAGGNAATCATAGTAACAATATATTTGGACAGTGGTTCAACCTTCGATTAGTTTATGAATATCCATTCTTGCATTTTCCTTTAGAAATGATATTAATTGTTTTTTGAAGCGTTTCAGAGAAGTTTCATATGTAATTTCTTTTGGTAAATAATTTAATAGTATGGAAGCTAGATACCAATAGCTTCTCTGTCCTATAGATTTGGAAACCAGTGGTATACAATTGTGGTGCCTTTTTCTCGTTGCATATGGATGGTTTGAAGTGTCATGTTCAGCTTTGTTCTTGTATAGCTGACATCCTATCTGAACGATGAATAATTGTCTTATGTCTAAAATTTGTGTTTCTTTATACAGCAAATTACTTGCATATCTTGCAGGTTTTTTGAGTAATATTCGAAGAAATCGTCTCTGAGAGACTTCAAGAGCATGTAGGTGAGTTTTTGATACTCCTCCCCAACCAATGATTCCATAATTTAAGTGTGATTCGACTAAACTGTGGTTTAGTCGAATCACACACTCCTGTCCTGTAACACTACATTATTGTAGTGTTATAGGACATACATGAAATGGAAACTGAAATTAATAGAGTTATGAATGTCTGACTATGGTGTGAATATGATAATAATATATATAACCGTAAAATGACATTTATCAAATTTCCAAACAAATGTTCCATACTGATCCAGTCAGTTGCCAGTTTCAACTTCTATAATGTCAAAACTTTGAGGTACAGTAAATAAAGATTCTCTTCACATATTCATGATTTGTGTCAATATCTCAATGAAATATATTTTGCTTCCTCAACTGATGAATACAATTTCATGAGTCAGTATCTAACCAACTTACGCATTAATTTATTCTGAACTCATCTTGAACATTGGTATTTGGGGGTCAATCAACAGGAGCCAGAGGAGTGTTTGTCATTTGAAATCGAATCATGCAGTTGACATTAGATCTTCACTCTCTTGCGGAGAAATATTGAGGAAAAATAGCATACTCACGGGTATATACCTCTGTAAGTTGATAAATCACGTACACGCGAAGTTTCACACAACTACAAAAAATAAAACCCACACTTTGCTCCCAGATTTTATGACGAATGATGGACGTCATACGGAATTGAAACAAAAACTCAAAGATTATCTTATTGCAAGTTGTTTTTATCCCCTTCCGAAATGTACGTCTCAACTACAGAAAATATGACGTGTCACATACGAGTAGATATATAAAAAGTGATTGAAAATATTTCAATCTTTCATATAGGTGAAAAAGTTGAGCAAAGTTGCTTGTTTCGACTTTTCGTGATAGTCATTATTTCGTATACAGTGTCATCCCCAAAGTATGCACCATATGGGAAACTTATTTATTCAGGGTTTTTCGACAAAAAGTTATTCCTGATAAAAGTTTGTGCATCCCTTAAAACTAAACATGCACCAACAAAATACAGTAAAATACACGTAATATACGAGGAGCCTTCAAATATTTGATTTTGAGACAGGAGTAAAGTACTCT